CTGACATTTTCTAGCACAGTCTCAAATTTCAGGTTTGTGTCCCAGTATCCCCAGAGACTCCCTGAAACGGGACTTATGTCCTGAATTTGGAGAAATTGGTCCTATATTGCACCGGGTAGCATCCTGCTGTGCTTGCTGAGAGGACACAGAGCAATACTGCCTGGCACCATGTTCTTGTAATGCTGCATGCAGAACAGTTAGTGCATGTTACAGAGCAATGCTGGTGGATGACTGGAGTTTGGTCTCCAGCTGGTCCCATACTCTGTCTCCTTTACTTACCTACCACACCTTGTTGTTAACTGAATCAGAGAGATGACCTCATCCCACAAGGGGAACATAGGTAGGGAAGTAAAGCTAGGCATTACTGTCTCTATCAGCCTCGTCTTTTCTAAATCTGTTTAGCATCAACTTGCAGTTTCGGAAGTCTGTGAAGCATCCAGGACTATATCCTGGATTTTGCTCCCTGAAGGTCAGCTATGCTATATTTCAGAAGTATGGTAGTACTTGACCCAGAATCTGAGATACTTTCTCCTTTTTACTTAATTCTTAGGAAACATTTGTACTGGCTTCTCTAGAGGTTCTTCTTGAGTGAGCTACTCAGGATTTGCTGTTTTAAACAGAAAAAGAAAACTAAAACAAACCATTAATGGCGATACAAAACAATGCACTGAAGAAAATACCATGCTTAATTAGCCAATAAATTAACTGTATTCTTTAGTTTATATTGCCTGTTTATATTAGCAGAGGGTGATATAGAATAAGGTCAAGGAAATCATTCTATATGCATCCCCAAAGATATCTGATACATCCAATGATAGCATAGCCTTGTTTATTCAAAACATTTCTGGGACATCAAACCATTTGGATAAACAGGGCTTCAAATAATTGAAAGAGTTATTGTATAAGTAATTCACACCAGAGGGACATAACCTAGATTCAAAGAAGTGAGTTTCAGATCAAAGGGGTGCAGATAAATAGGATTTAACTGAATATGAACAAATGAAAGAAACAACCGTTTGATTATTGAAAAATCCAGAGGTGTCCAAACATTTTTCAGAAAGAGATTTTGAAGACTGTCCAAGGCTATTGTATAATCTAAGTAGTAGAAAACTACATACCTCCAGTGGAAACAAAATACCTAAATGGGATCCTGAGGGTTTTGGGGTTTTTTTTCCACATTAACTGGAGTTCTGGTGGAGACTTTCTTTCATCTATTCATAGTCAAATGTGTGAACCTTAACAAGCTGTCACCACTACTCCAGACAAAGTGTTGATTCTTGGAATATTGACACCCTGTAATGAACAGTGTGGATTAGCACCAGTGTGCACAATGAAGTACACAGCCTAACCAGGAATAAATTGGGATCCATATCAATAGGAATGTACACAAATAATAACAACCAGTTTCTCAGCTTTTCCTTTCATTCTGATCTTCACTTCAAAGCAAATATATATGGTCTCCCTGCCCATTGTTATAGTTTGAACTAGATGCTATTGAGACTTTAAGGGTACAATATTCAAAAGCTATAGGTTTTCATACCTGTTTGTTTTCCTGTGCCTTTGCTGTTAATATGGTGTAGATAACCTGGATACACCTGGATATGCCAATGGCAACGTAGACAAATAATTGGCCATTTACATGCTGCACAAATACTTCTGGAAATCAAACCCAGAATGCTTCATTTTTAATGTATCTACTACTTTCTTACAGACAATATTTTAAAAGTGGGTGGAAAGACACATTATTAAGGTGTAACACATTGAAAACAGGGGGGCAGCTTTTAGCTGCTGTTAAATGGTTTTATTTGGATTAAAATCAGAGTTGCTATGCCAATTTACACCAGTTGAGAATCTTGCCAATAGAGGCAACCCCCCTACAGCTGTGCAGCATATGTTAATTAACACTTTCTTGTATCTGAGTGTTAACCCAGCTAGGAAAGGACAGGTCTTTCTCCCTATCTATATTGGCAGTTCCACATTAGAGGTGATGAGTTTACTAGAACACAGTCCTCTAGGTCAAGCAGTTAAAGAAACATTTCAAGTGCTCAGGAGCCTGTATTCAAACCCTCCTGCTATTTTGGGTTCTGAGTCATAATTTTTGAATGCTTGCATTTGGCACTATTGATGGTTTCAGTGTGTATTAGGTATTGAGTAAAAGCTGTAATAGATTTTTTTTTTTTTTTTTAATGCACAGAGTATAATTCAGGTTTTCTTAGGTTCTGGGACCTGATTCTGGAATGACAGTTGTGCATATCAAGAATTAATTCAGCTCAAGCCATTATGAGGTAAAAGCAATGCAGTCCACAACAGAATCCACAAGCCTAATGCTAGTCCCATACCCTTGAATCTTGGAGGAGACAATAATGCTGTCCCCTGTCCCTGCTCACAATTCTTGGTGAGCATGATGGGAAGGGAAGGAATAAGGAAGAAAGCAAAGAGCAGGAGGTTATGTGGGAGAAGCACCCATTCCTCACCCCTGTTCAACTGTTGGGCTCAAAAGGAAGTGGGGATTGCATGTGTGATAGCAAATTCCTGTTTGCAGGGTCTGCTATACTTCCTTGTCCTGCACCCCTGGTTGGAGTAGGTACCTGTGCTAGGTCTGAAGGATTTGGGCAGCAGGGAGGGAAGGGGCAGGAGGCTGGTCCTGGCACAGGAAGGAGCTGCCCTGACTGGGTCAGTCTTTCCCCATCTCAATCTTTCAGTGTTATTCCACAGGTAGAGGAGAGAAGCCAGAGGGCACAGGTATGGGGCATGCTTATAGGGGGCAGGAGCCAGAAGAAAGAGTTATGGGAGACCCTGGGATGGAAGAAATGGTGCACAACTGTCCGAGAGACAGAAACAACAGGACACAGCATGGTGATTGGGATGAGGGGCAGCAGTTATTGGGGTACATTTACCAAGAGACAGGGAGGAGGACGGATGCTGGTAGGAGCCTTTTTGGGAAGAAGTCAGGGGCTTGAAGTAGAGCAAATGAGGTGAGTTTGGATACTGGGAACAAGTGAGGGGATTCTTGCAATGGGGAGACTGGTATCTATGGGTAAGGGGAAGAAAAGGCAGTTTGGGAGTGCCCTGGAAATGGGGAGACCCTGGAAGAGTTTATGGGCAGAGTTTAGGAAAACCTAGGGAGAATCCACATGGTGTGATGTGTGGAGAGAAGGAGAGGAGAACCCGGGCTGGGTGAAAAATCAGCATTGTTTCTGAAGGCACTCTGAACAGAGAGATAGCACCAGGTCAAAATAGTTGCTGGAGTTTAATTTTCTAAGGAGAGAAGAAATTACTTTAGAAGCTGGTTGGGTGTTGAATCCAAAAGGACTGGTCTAATGGTGTCTCATTTTTTTTTCACTCCTTCATCACCCCCCACTTTCATCTCATCCTCACAAACCAACCACTGAGGCTCTTCTGCAAGTCTTTGGACAATATTGCTCAGTTGGTGCCAAGCCTGTCCTAGGACTGTGCTGCTTTACACAAGTTAACATAGAAGCTGGATGACTGTGTCAATTTTGCCTCTAGAGGTTATGTTGCAACACGGTTAGTTTAAAAAAAAATCAGTCTCCATGAGCAGCGGATGAGGATATAGCTAGTGGGAATCTCTTTTACATTCTCTTCTCTTTACTCTTTCTTCTCTTTGCAGGTTCCCCAAGAGCTTCCTACGTGCTTGAGGAATCCTTGCGCACAATGTCTCTGCGTGCAGCCCAGAGGAGGACGTCACAAGCACCAGGTAATTGGGAATGTGATAGGACAGGATTGCACCTACTTATGAAGAGAAAGTAATTATGGAGTTATTTCTTTTTTAGATTTATGTCCTGCCCTATCCAAAAGGCTCAGGGTGGAAATTAGCTAGTACTGAAAGATATTAGCTTGACAGAGTGCATATAATTGACCTAGAGAAAATAAGGTGCATAAATGTGTGCCTACTTTGAAGCACCTGTATATTCTGGTTGATTTCAGTGGGATTTTTTCCTGTTCCTAAATGCTTAAATACCTGGATGAATTGTCTTTGCAGAACAGACATCATGGGAGAAAAAAGTAGTATAAAGCTTTCTGTCTAACGTATACTTAGTGGATGTGTCTACATGGGATGCTATGGCGACATAGCATCGGTAGGCACAAACTGTGATGCTGCCACTGCTGCACAGTAGCAATGAGCCACTGCGCAGTAGGGTAGGAAACAACCCGTGTGCTGCAGTAGGACTGCGCAGTGCCAGCGGTTATTGCGCAGTCGCGTGCACATGTAAACGTGCCCACTGTGTCACAGTCCTAGACTCCACTTGCAGTATTGAGTGGGTAAGTCCAGTTTCTAAGCGTATTACAGTAATCCTTGGCCTTTTTGCTGTGACTTCTAATCAAGCTACTAGTTTTGCCTTTTTTTTGGTCTATACACCCGAGGACCCCAAAGCTATTTGCTGCCATTGAATTTGAAAACCAATCTCCCACTGAGTTCAATTGGAGAAGGATTAGACCCTGTTTTTCATAAGCCATTGGCTCTGAAATAGTCTCCTTGTGGAACAACAGAAAAGGATGCGCTTCCTTTAGAAGCGGCGCCTGTAAATCTTACACGCTCATCATCCAAGATGGATTTCTTTCCTCTTATTTAATGCCAGAGCCTTGGAATAACTCGCATGCAGCTTGCAGAGGGCAAACTAGAGTGGCAGCTGCCTAGTGGGGAATAACTTGAGTGGTGGTGGTGGTGGGGAGAACCATGGGCATGCAGATGATTATTAAAATAGCACAATAGAGAATGATGTTTGAGTGCTGCCTTATCAACCCTGATACCCATAGGTTTATTGCTCCTGCCTATTGATTAGGACGGTCTGTAGCAGAGACAGACAGCAATTGCTGCTGCTACTGATGGAAAAGAAAAGGTAATAGGAGGAGGAGGGGAGGAGGAGGAGGTGGAAGCTGAGGTGTTGCAGAGGATTGGCTGGTTGCAATGTCACTCAGACCTCCCAGCACCAGCTCTTCCGCTGCTCTAGCTCCAGCTCTCCCTTGAACAGCTCCTGGAGAGAACAAGGCGTGCGGAGCTCAGATCACCAGCACCATGGTCCTTGGGCTTGGATCCTAGATCGCCCCCACCTCCCCTCCCCTCCCCTCCCCTTCCCTCCCTTCTTTGAACACTGGTAATAACTGCTCTGTCCATCAGTTTTGCAGACAGACAGATCCCGAGAGAGAGCAAGAAAGAAAAGGAGGAAGAGAAAACCTGCAGCCAAGTGGACTAAAGCAGCAAAGAGGGAGAGAGAGGGTGCTTTGCTTGCATAGCTGCAAAGTGGGAATTTAAAGACCTGCAGAGAGCAATCCCAGCTCCCCACCGCGCACACATTGCAGAATTACAGAGCCAGGTAGAAATGACATCAACAGGGAAAGAAGGCAGCGGAGCTCAGCATGCCCAGTATGTTGGACCCTATCGTCTGGAGAAAACCCTGGGCAAAGGACAGACAGGTTAGTTCCTTTGCAGCAGCTGCACTAGGGAGAAGATGCTGGAGCAGCTCTTGAGCTGGTGGGGACAGGAGATGGGAGGGTTGGGAAGGTGCGGGTTGTTTCACTCACTTCTGCTCTTGCAGTCGAAATGTTCTTTATAGGAGATTTTTGCCTTGGTGAGCTTTTCTGCTTGCTGATTTTCAGATACACTGTGTTGCTTTGCCTGTGCATCCCTCCCATGAAGGGGTGTTGTTCTGATGACAGTCAAAGTGCATGCAGAGGAAAAGGGGGATGGTGTCTGCTGTTGGTGAATTTCATGTCAATTACTTCCCTGCCCCACTTCCCTTCCTTTTCTTTTTAATGGCATTAAATTGAAATGAGAGGTGCACAGGGCATAGTGGAGAAGAGGTGGTGGTGGTGGTGGTGGTGGTGGTAGCAGCGGGGGAGTCACCAGCAGTATTTCATGACATCATGATTGAAAAGGGTGTAGTCCTTAAGGTGCAGTTGGTGGGGGAAGAATATATATATATATA